CAGAAGACCAGACCTAAGGCAGAAAATAAAAGCAGCTGAAGTTTATGGAGTCTGCCCACGAGGTTCACATGGATCGTGTTTATTCCTCACAACCACCCGGGAGGGAGGCCCTGTCATTACACCCACTTTGCAGGTGGGAAGTAAGGCACAGTGGAGTTAAGTGACTTGCCCACAGTCATGGACTGATGCGTCGTACCACCTGGACCCAGCCCAGGTCTCCACCGCATTGCACTCAAGGCAAAACCCAGGAGGCACCTGGACACCCCGTCCCTTCCTCCCACCTGTCCAGACGTTACCCCCAATCACCTCCCATCAGTCTGAGACTACTTCATTGGTCTGAAACCGCCCCCCCCCCGCTTCCTGGACGCCTCCTCCTGCCTCTCCTGGAAACACTTCTCCATGAAGCAGCCTGAGGGAGATTTTCAAATTGCAAATCTGTAGAATCTGTTTTTCTACAACTTGAAACCCTTTGAAAAGGGGTAAAGCCCCACCCCTTTTTCCTCATCCATAACCTCTGTGGACTCCACCGCGGGTCAGAGGCCTCCACACCCTCCCTGTAGAGGGCTCAAGGCACCTAGTTGCAGAGTTATTTGGTTAATGTCTGCAGACACCCGAGGGCAGGTCCTCATCTGTTTGTTCACTGCTGCTGCCCCATGGCCAGGCCCCCAGGGGTGCTCCTACATTCCTAAGCAAGCAATGAATGGGTCCTTGGGCTGCTTTGGCATCCAGTAGAACACAGACTTAGTGGTGGGTGCATAGGCCTGGGTAGGGGCGCGCTGTGGACACTCTGAGCAGCTGCCCAGGGAGGGAGCCCCCCAGCGCTGGCCTAGCATCCACGGGAAGCTATTTTTAGCCCCGGGAAACAGGAAGTGAGTCAGGGCCTGAGAAGGCCAGCCGGACGCTCGGCACCTCGGGTGCGATTGATGAGCGCCTGGACGGAAGGGCCGGCTGCACCTAGGGAAGCAGGAAGGAGGCCTGGAGGAAGAGGATAGGAGGGGAGACCCTCTCCCCAGCAAAACAGGCGGCCCTGTGGGGCCCCAGCGGAAGCCGGTGAGCTCAGCGCAGATGGCCACCAGCCCATTGTCCTGCCACACCTGGGGTCGGTAGGTGGGGCAGCAGCAGCCCCATGCCCAAACCCCCAATCCAACTGACATCCATCCGGGGCCCACGCAGGGCGGGCCTCTACTTGTCTCATCTACTCCCCACGTGAGCACAAGGTCTCGCTGGTACCATTTTACAGAAGGCCAAAGAGAGGCAGGTGCTTGCCAAGGCCACATCAGCAGCGAGGACAGCACGGGACTTGAACTCAGCTCTGTGTTACCATGGAGATCTCTCAGAGGGTACAGCAGACTCAGGGGACACCAGCACTGACCCGGAGGCCGCCACCAAGAATGTCTGGGGCAGGCGTCTGAGGCCCTGGCTGGACTCTAGTCCTGGTTCAGTCTCTACTTGAAAAGAGGGCCAATCAAATGCCCCCTCCCTGGCCCCAATTTCCCCGTCCTCACTCAAGAGGCCTGGCTGGCCAGACCAAAGTCAGGGGTCTGAGGCTGGGACGGTCCCCCTGAGCTGAGGCTCCTTGGGCAAGGGACCAGGGGACCCGCTCCCTCCCTGCATCACAGCCCGCGGCCCCAGGATGGTTTCGGCTGGGTTTGAGGGTGGCACCACCCTGGAAACCTCCATCCGAGACAAGCAGTGGTGATGGCCAGCTGCAGTCAGCCCTGTCGGAGGTCGGGGGACTCAGGAGAACTTTCACTTCCTCAACTGGACCCATGTCACCCCATCCCTGCCCCTCCATTCTCATTTCCCCCTCCGTGCCATGGGCAGAGTTGGGCAACCCCTGCCCCTTCTGAACCAAGGGCTTCTACAGTCAGAGCTCTAATGCCAGGACATGGGCTTGGACGAGTCATGCAGCTACCAATGGGCACCCTGAGACCCCGCCACCGAGGGTGTGCACCCCGGGTTACAGGGTCGGGGAGAGGCAGAATCAGGCAAGATGAACCCTGATGCTTTGCTGGGTGGGAGCAGGGAATTCGAAGTTTTTCTTTCAAGTCTGAATGTTCTAAGTTTCATCAGAGAATGTATATTATTTGTGGTAAAGGCAACACAGGACAAGCGCCATGGGTTGGGGGATGTGGGTTCTGGTGGATTTTTGCTAGGAATCAGAGGCCAAAAGCACAGCTGCACCTACAAAGGGAAGGCGGATGCGGCGGGGAGCCTGTGGGTGGGGGGCACTCACACTGCTTCAGCCCAGCCCAGGCCCTGTCGTCGCCCCACAGCCCAGAGAGAGACTCAGCTCCACCGCAGGGGAGAGACTGAGGCTCAGGACAGCTGGCCACCTGTTTGGGGTCACCCACCCAATAAGGGCTAACAGGGTTGCCCACCCCAAACCCTCCCCTCAGACACAACTTCTAGGGCTGGACTCACCTGGGTGGCCCGCAGGCCTCCTCTGAAAGGCGGCATTGGTGGAACCCCAGCTCTGCAGCTCCCCGGCAAGTCAACGCCCAGCTCTGTGCCTCAGTTTCTTGGGCTGCCCTGGAGCATTAACTCTGAGTGGAACCAGGCAAACGCTGGGCGTGCACGCGTGCGTCTGCTATTTGACGGACAGACGGAGGCGGGGGCGGCCTCAGTGCCACGAGCATGCGTAAGGGTGGGCGGGACCGTACCATCCTGCGTGGGTGCCCATTACCTGCGAGTTACGGCCACAGGCCAGCCCTGCCTCCTTTTATCATCCAGCCCAAAGCTGCAGGTGTTTTTCCCGGTCCCTCTCTCTTTAGCCAACCTCAAGGCCTCCGGACCTCAAGGCCTCCGGACCTCAAGGCCTCCGGACCTCAAGGCCTGGGCATTGGTAGCAGGAGCCCTGACCCTCTGGACGCCCTCGTTCCCATCCAGCGCTGTCCCCGAGTGAAAGAGGAGGCGCCGAGAGTTTAAGTGAGGAGCCTCAGAAAAGGCTCTTAAATGCTAGTCACAGCGTGATTTACTTTTGAGTCCCCACCTGACCGTAATTCACTTCCATTTGCAGGACCCGTGGCCCCCTCGCGGAGGATGCCGGGAGAAAGCAGGAGGGGGCGGGGGTCGCACTATTTTTAGCCCCAGTAGCTGAATGGGCCGCAGTGAGTTACGGGTCAGGGGCTCTGCTTTTGCCTCCATGCCCTGGACCCTCCCACACAGAGTTCCCACTGCCTCGGCACCAACCCCAGCTCCCACCCTTGCTAAGCTGGTTAAAGCACCTGCAGGGCGCCTCCTGGGGCTTGAGCTGGGGCAGTTCAAGTTAATTTCGCCAGGTGGTGCTGTTATCCCTTTTACAGAGAGGGAAACTGAGGCGCAGAGAGAACTCACTGCCCAAAGTGACACAGCGAGGGTCGTCGGAGTCCAGTCCTTGTGCACTGTCCCATCCATACCCCCTCTATGCCTGTACCCCCCACACAGAACCCCCCTGGCTTCGCATCTGAGTCTGACTCTCCCTCTGCTTTTTCCCCGGTTGCCTTCTCCTTCCCAGATCAAGACCCTGAGCGGACAGTGAGGACCACGGTGCAGGGGGGACTGGGTCCCCCTTTCTGTGCTCTACTCAGCTGGTGTCCCCTGAGGGCCGTCTTTAGGCCCTGTGCTGAGCTGAGTCTCATGCAGAGGAGAGGGCTGTAAATCAATAGGACCAGCCCACAGTGGAAGCTGGAGTGTAATGAGAGCAGGAAGGTGCTGACACCGGTTTAGCCCTGGTGGGGGAGGTCAGGGAGGGCTTCCTGGAGGAGATGATGCCTGATCTCAAGGAGGCACAGGGCTACCCACAGGGGCAGGGGCTGAGAGCGGACAGCCCGTGCAAAGTCCCAGAGGCAAGAAGGAACACATCACTCCTTTCCCTACTGCTGGCCCTGCCTGGACCTTCCTTCCCTTTCACCTCCCCACCCAGATCCCCCCTTCCTGACTCCCCCGCCCACGCCCATCCTCTCCTGGTGGCTCCTCCAAAGACCGGAAGATTAGGTGGGAATCCAACCCCACAGCTCTCAGATGAGGAGAAACTTCTCCAAAGAAAAAAAAAAAAAAAAAACCACCACCCTCACACACGTTAATTCCATTGTTTCCGCTCCCAGATCCTGCCTGAAAAACAAAAATAAAATCAAAATTAGACCCCAGCTGGGAGGCTTTCTCTGGCAAAGTGTTCACCTAGGGGGTTGAGTGGTGGACCAGCCCAGATCCCCCGGTGAAGTGGAGACAGGAGACCCCAGTGCCCCTTGGTGGGGGCACTGGGGCCTCCACCAGTCCCTCAGGGGGTGAGCGCTGTGGATGCCAATGCTCTTCCCTAACCAGTTCACTTAGTCCCCAAGCAGCCTCCCCTTCACACCCATAAAACTGAGGGGCTGGTTTGTCACACAGCAGAGCTGGGATTTGAATCTGGATATCTCTGACCCCAGAACCCACTAGCTTGCCCACAGTTCACAGGGTGCTAGGAGCAGTTAAAGAAGAGGAAGTGTTGGCAAGTCGCTTCCTGCACATCCAGCTGCCTGTGCTCATACGTCCAGGGATGGGGAGCTCACTCCTCACAATTAACCATTTTCACATATTTGCATTGTCAAGAATGTCTGTCCACTCCTGCCCCACCCCTGGCCTGGTTCCTAGTCTCTGACAGTGACACTGGGAGGCTCTGCAGTGACAGGAACTGGACTGGAGGTGTAACCCTGTGGGACACTTTTCAGAAAATGGGAACAAGGGGCTTCCCTGGAGGCGCAGTGTTTAGGAATCTGCCTGCCAGTGCAAGGGACACAGGTTCGAGTCCTGGTCCAGGAAGATCCCACATGTTGCGGAGCAACTGGGCATGTATGCCACAATTACTGAGCCTGTGCTCTAGAGCCTGCAAGCCACAACTACTGAAGCCCGCTGGCCTAGAGCCCAAGTTCCCCAACAAGAGAAGCCACTGCAGTGAGAAGCCCGCGCACCGCAACAAAGAGCAGCCCCTGTTCAACGCAGCTAGAGAAAGCCCGCGCACAGCAGTGAAGACCCAACGCAGCCAAAAATAAATAAATTAAATAAATTAATTTAAAAAAAAAAGGGAACAAGAATGGGGAAGCCACAGGAGGGAGGTTCTTCTAGCACTGTGGTCCCTTGGGGGAGTCCCTTGGAGCACCCTCCCCAGGCCTCTCACAGCCCTGTGGGCAGTGTCCCCCTCTTGGTGCCAGGCCCAGAGGGTGCTTCTTGCCCCCCTAGGGTCCTCTGAGATGGGTGTGATTAGGCCCCTGGTGCCTCCTTCCCACTTCCCTCCAGGGTTGACCTCAATGGCCCCTGGCTGGGCTTTTCCCAGAGCTGAGGCCGGAAGCACAGGTCCCGAGTGTTTGTTCAGGCCAGGCTGGGGCTCCGGGCAGGCGAGGCGGAAATGGCCGCAAGATGTTTGTCCAAGTGGGGGTCAGGCTCCGCAGCCAGGAGTTGGGAGGAAGGGCCGGAGGAGGAGAAGTCCCGAGTCAGCACGCCCAGGGCCTGGGCTCTGCCTCTAGGCCTTGGCTGCCTCTCCCGTGGGCGCAGCACTGCACACAGTAGGCACCTGGTGGATAAGGAATCAAGGGGCAAGGAAGGGGAAGCTGGCACCTCCCTCAGCCAGGGCCCAGGGCGCCATCCCCCTCCCAGCCTCCCCCCTCCCAAATCCATCCTTTGGGAAACCTACAGGCCCCACTTCCCAAAGATAACAAGAGTCTGACCCCTGCTCCCCACCCACCCTACCACCCATGTCCAGCCACCGGCTTCTAGCCTGGACTGTGGCAGTAGCTTCCTCACTGGTTTCCTCCCCAGCAGTCTATCCTACTCTTGGCCGTGGCGCCAGAGGGATCCTATTAACAGGCAAATCAGATCTTGTCTATTCCTGCTCAACCCCTACCCAGGCCCCCACTTCCCTGAGAGCAAAAGCCAACTGTTATGGGCTGAATCGTGTCCCCCCCAAATTCATATATTGAAGTCCCAACCCCCAGTATCTCGGAATGTGACTGTATTTGGAGACAGGGCCTTTCAAGGGGGGATTAAGTTAAAATGAGGTCCTATGGGTGGGCCCCAGGCCAACAGGACTAGTGTCCTTTTAAGAAGAGATTAGGACACAGACAAGTACACACACAGAGGAAAGACCACGTGAGGACACAGCGAGAAGGGGGCCATCTGTAGGCCAAGGAGAGAGACCTCAGGAGAAACCAAACCTGCCGACACCTTGATCTTGGACTTCTGGCCTCCAGAACTGTAAGAAAAGAAATTTCTGTTGTTGAGATGTGGGACTTTGTTACAGCAGCCAAAGCCGACCAAGATACCATCTGACCCGGTGCCCTCACCACCCTCGGCTCTTTCCATTGTCCCCTTTGCTCTCTGTTGCTTCAGTCCACCTAGCATGTTCCCACCTCCTGGCCTTGGCCTTTGCTGTTCCCGCTGCCTGTTATGCCCCTTCCCCAGGGCTGCTGCCTTCTTATCACTCAAGTCCCTGCTCAAATGTCCCCCCTTCAAAGAGGCCCTCCCAGACCGATGTGCTCATTGGGGGCTGTCAGCCATCTCTCCTGCCAGACTGGGACCTTCACCAGGGGCTGGTGCTCTGTGCCAGACAGTGCCCAGCACACAGCAGATGTGCAATAAAGATGTGTTGAAGGCAGGGAGGCAGGCCCCTCCTAGCACCACCTCCGTATCTTCCAAAACTCAGATCACAAGGGGCTTCAGAGGCAGAGCCAGGCCTCTAGGTGCCCTGTGTGTTCAGGTGGTGGCCCCCAGAGGTCCAGCCATGAGAACTACTTGCCTGCCAGGTGCATGGGCTGCTGCCTTCCTTCTACATCCTCGGTTTCCAAACACTGCACCTGTGTTCACTCCCCTTTCCTCATTTGTCTTTCAGTGATTCTTCCGGAAGCTCTGCTATAGACTGAGTGCATCCCCCTCAAGTTCCTCTGTTAAATCCTAACCCACAATGTGACTGTATCAGGAGGTGTGATTTTTTTGGGGGTGAGTAGGTCATGAAGGTGGAGCCCTCATGAATAGGATTCGTGCCCTTTATAAAAGAGATGACAGAGAACTCTCTTGTCCCTCCTGCCATGTGAAGGCACATGGAGAATGCAGCCATGTATTGAACTAGGAAGCTGGCTCTCACCAGGCACCAAATCTGCTGTTACCTTGATCTTTGACTTCCCAGCCTCCAGAACTGTGAGAAATAAATATCCGTTGTTTGTAAACCACTCATTCTAGGAATCCTGTTATAGCAGCCCAAGCAGACTAAGACAGGCTCTTTGTTTGGGATGGCTGAGCAGGTAGGACCCAAGTTGAAACCCAGTCCCATCCTTTTTGACCTGTGGACTCAGTGCCAGCTCCTTCCCCAGGGGGCTGGGCATCTGGGAAGGACCTAAGCATAAAAAGCTTCCTGCCAGCTCAGTCCTAGGGACCGATGGGGACAGGCATCTGTCCACCCAGAGTGTGTACATGGAATGACTCTGGCCCCTCCCTGCGCCTAAATACTGCCTGGAAGTAGGGTGAGGAAAGGCTGGGAAACTGCTGGGACTTTCTGAAGGCTGGTGTGCTCTGGGTGTTTGTTCATTTGTTGAGTCAATAATCACTCTCTTGAGACATCTCCATACCCACTCAAATGGCTGAAATTTAAGACTGACAATAGCAAGTGTTGACAAGGATGCGGAGCGACAGGAACTTGTACACACTTCTGGGGCACGTGTATGTGTGTGAAATGGTGCAGACATTGCAAAACAACATAGTAGTTTCTTACAAAGTCAAACGTAGACTCAGGCAAAACATCAATCCGACTCCTAGGTATTGACATGAAATGAGAACACACTTGCACCCAGAAACCTGTACGCAAATGTGTATAGCAGCTCTATAACTGCCCTAAGCCAGAAACAACAGTAAATTCCCACAACCGATAAACAGATTAACAAATAAGATGCAGCCCTACAGTGGAATCAAAAGGAATGAGCTATGGACACACAACACAGCTGAATCTCAAAGCCAGATTCAAAAGTCTCCATACTGCAGGATTCCAGTTATGGGACATTCCGGAGAAGGCCAAGCTGTACCGACAAAGGAGGGATCAGTGGTTGCCAAGGGCTGGGATTGGGGGCAGGGACTGACTGGGGAGGAGCACCAGGGAATTATCTGGGGAGCTGGAATGTTCCGTCTTGTTCTGAGAGTTAGTTACAGGGTATAAACATGTGTAAAAATTCATTAAACTTCACATATTTGAGATCTGTCCATTTCCCTCGATGTAAATTATACCTCAATAGAAAACTAAAAACAAAAAAGCTTTTTAACCACCACTCCCTTTGCCGGCCGCCTGCGGGGCTGGGTGGGCGCTGGCCCCTAGGGCGCCGCAGTCGGGGGCCCGCGGGGTGCGGGGCGGCGGGCGCGGCGCCCCGGCTCCAGCTCCGCACGGGGGCGCTGCCTAGTCCCGCCCGGGCCGGGACGTGCGGCACCCAAAGCAGCGCTGGCCTCCGCGGTCCTGCGTCCCGCCAACCCAGGCTGGGAAAGGCCGGAAGCGGAGCGCAGGGTGAGCGGGGCCCATTGTCCGCTTGTCCGCTCCGGCCCCGCCCGGTATTGTCCCGGGGGTGGGACCCTCCCCGGGCCTGGGCGGGGCTGGGGTCCCTGGGTCCGGGGCGGAGCCTCCCACGGCCCACACCGCCCCTCCTCGTTTGCAAGGGGGAGGCCAGGGCTGGGGACTGAGCCCAGCGTCCGCCGCCGTGCCCCTTGCTCCGCACTGTGTAGAGCGACTGCGCTCCTGGTTCCGGCCAGCACGCTGTCCCCAGTGGCCAGGGTCACTTGAGCCATCACCCCTCATTTCCCCCTTGGGGCTTTGAGCCCCTCAGAAACCACAGACGCCTCTGGGTGGGGGTGGGGGTCATTTCCTTGCCGATGGTCACGTGGGCACAATACTGGGGAATCGAGGAGGGGGAGAACATTCCTGCCCTTGCCAGAGCCCCCGCTTTGTACCAGGCGCTGGGGACACACCGGGAAACCAGACAGGGTCCCGTCCGCAGGGGTCCCCATTCCAGTGGGGGCAAAGGCAGAGAGCAACAAGTAGACGACAAATAAGTGACTGCACAGTTGCACAAACGGGGAGACCAGTGAAGGAGGGCTCAGGTAGTTGGGTGGTCGCCGAAGGCTCTTGGGCAGGTTATATGCTGGCAGAAAGCACGGGAGGAAAAGGCAGCCCCGGGGGATGTCGGGGCAGAGGGACCGCGTGGACAGAGGCCCGGGGACGAGAATGTGCTGCGTGGGTGCGAGGCCGGGCGGGGGTGGGGGGAGGCGCGTGGCGGGCGTGAGTGAAGTCATAGAGCGGCCTCGTGGGAGCCCAGACTTGAGGCGAGAGGCCGCATCTGAGTCAAATCCAGGGAGAAGACGGTGGGGTTCGGGCCAGCAACTTGCAGAGAACAAAGAAGTCAGGAAAACTTCGGTTCTAGCCATGATCGGCGACTTGCCCTCTCCGGGCCTCAGTTTCCTTAGTCGTAGAAAGCATCCGGGTTGGAAGTTCTGAGATTCCTACTCTCAATCCAAGATTAACGCGACCTCACCTTGGTTGCGCAAGAAATGCGCCTGCAGAGGTTCACAGACGCGGACAGACCTACGAAAGGAGAATCAAACCGGCACAACCAGAGACGCCGTGGGCGGGAGGGGCTGATCTGCGGGGTGGCTGGGCAGAGGGACGTCGGGAGCCGCTGCCCGAGGCGGGTAGTTTAAAGGTTTCCGACAAGGAGGGTGCACTCCCCGAAGAAGCCACCAGGCGACGCCAGAGACCGGGTTTGCGGCGCCAGAGTTTGTTTTCAAATCGTTTCAAAGTTACAGAAAAATTGTGAGAATAATACAGAGAACTCTTGGACCCCTTTCTTAACTCAGATTCAAGTTTTAGCATTCTGACCCCCTCTTTGCATATTCAAGTCCCCCTCCAAGCATCGGGAGAGTAAATTGCAGACGTGATGCCCCTCGAACCCTAAATCCTTCAGTGTGTATTTCCTAAGAACAAGGATATCCTATTACACAACCACAGCAGAGTTTTCAAGATCAGGCGATTTAATCATGATTCAATACTGTTATTTACGCTACAAAATATTATTCAAATATTGCCGGTTGTCCCAACGAGGTCTTTTATAGCATTCACCCACCCCCAGCCTCCATTCCAAATCTAGGATCCACTCCAGGATCACATTTAGTTGTTCATTTTTATTTTAAATGCAATTTATTCACTAGGCTTTCCCGGGCTGAAGTAATTGGAAAAGATGGATGTAAAGAGTTCCAGCTTCACCCTTCTAAACCGCATGAACCTGGGTAGCTCACACTCAGGTCTTCTCCACTGAAAGGTACCAGGTTCTGAGCAAGGGGTGTGGGAGAGGCTGGAAGGGGCAAAGAATGCACTTACATTCTGAGATGGAATCTTTCTTTCATTCTTCCTGGTCTGACCCACTTCCCCAGGTCCTTGGCCAAGGGGTCCATTACAGTCATCCACCACAGTCTTCAAATGGGGCACTGACTCCCTGAGAAAGCAGCTTCTTGCTTTGGGAAAGAAAGACAAATGCTCCCAACTGGCAAGGCCAGTTGGAAGTCCTGCTCTGGGACTGGAGAGGAAAAAGAGCTTAGAGTACTGGGAGACAAATCCTTTGGCCAGTCGAGTAGTTTCTATTTTTTGCTTGCAACAAAATTGCAGGAGGGCCCAATCCTTTTGTCAGCCAATAGAGAGTAAACATAGCGTCTTTAACTTATATTATGATAAATGGAAACATACACAAATAGTATAAGGAACTCTCATTTACCTATCACCAAGTTGCAACAAAAAATAATTCTTGATGATGGATTACTATTGATTTTGAGCATAAAGCTCAAAGGGAGTTAAAATAATTGAGTAACATTGCTCCAATACTCCTTCCTTTCATTTCTATTCCTTATTTATGTGACAAGATTTCTGAGTGCTTATACCTGTAAAAATGAGAATGAGGAAGAAATGAAGCTGTAGAAATAAGCTTCGTATTTATCCATGGGTACACACAATGGGGGAAATCCAATCAACTCATAAAAAAATGAAATATATAGTAACATTTTGTTTAATCAGTATCTATCAATATTTGTAATATTTATAGTTTTGATCAATCACATACTAATATTTGTAATCATAACTTTCCAGAATAACATTTTAAAAACACTTAGTGACTTATGATCACAGAAAATTTTAAAGCCAGTTTACATCCATAGTTTTTGGTACAGAGAAGATGGTGTGATCAATAAGAGATTTTCAGGCATAAGAATATAGTACATTAGGCTAAAACTTTGTGGGGAGAGGAACTGAATACAATTTTCAGAGATAAAAAAGTGAGGTGAAACCTCATTAATAAAGAAGAGCTTGTTTGCGTGCTGTTTACATGGGTGATGATGGGGACGCAATCACTATGCTCTTTAGCTTCACTGGATGCGTCACAGAGTGACGAAACAGTTCAACCTTACAGTGTCAATATTTAAAATATCCTGGAAACTACATCCTTTGCACCCATTTAAGCTTTTTTTTAAAATTTCAATAAATTTATTTATTTATTTTTGGGTGTGTTGGGTTTTCATTGTTGTAAGCGGGCTTTCTCTAGTTGCGGCGAGCACGGGCTACTCTTCGTTGTGGTGCACGGGCTTCTCATTGCGATGGCTTCTCTTGTTGAGGAGCATGGGCTCTAGGCGCGTGGGCTTCAGTAGTTGCAGCGCGTGGGCTCCGTAATTGTGGCACAGGGGCTTAGTTGCTCTGCAGCATGTGACATCTTCCCGGACCAGGGCTCGAACCCGTGTCCCCTGCACTGGCAGGTGGATTCTTAACCACTGCGCTACTAGGGAAGTCCTCCCCATTTAAGCCTTAATATTGTAGATGTCAACTGTAGAATGTGTGAGAGGGCACAGTGTTTCCAAATTCTTTCGGGGGGGCCACTAGCTAAACAGTTTGCAGTTCTCCAATGGGTGGATCCAGGGAGCTGGGTCTGAAGTGTGAGAACCCACCACATGCCGGCCTCCCTCCAGACTCAAGTTCCTCTGTGTACTTGTCCCGTAGCTGGGAGATTTCTATCTCAATCACTGATTGTTTCACACTTGAAACCACGGAGAGTCTGAGGTCCCCCAGGAGAGAAACTGGCCCCTCCCCTGCTCCCCTCACAGTCCAGCGGGGCTGACAGTCATGTAAACGCTCAACCACCACTCACTGTGTAGCTGTCATAGAGCCCAACTCAGCTGGCACTGGACTAGAGACACAGAGAAGGAAGCGAATGTTTGGGGGATGTGGGGAGAAGGGCTGGTCAAGGAAGACTTCTGAGAAGGGGGGCTTTTTGAAGGAAGAAGAGAAATTCCCTAAGCAGACAGAGGGAGGGCAGTGCAGTGAGAACAGCACGTGTGAAGGTATGGCAGTGACTGTAAGCATGGGAACGACAGCATTTTGTCAGGTGTGGCGAAGGGTGTACAAGGGAGCCTGGCTTCTGATAACAGCAAGGCTGGTTGACTTTCACTGAGCATTTACTGCCTGTCAGGTGCTGTTCTGGGTACCTGACAACAGTTAACTCACGACACCCTCCTAACAACCTCCTGAGACTGGTGCCCTTGTTACCTCTATTCCTCAGTGGAGTTAAGGAGGTGGGGACAGCTGGAAGGATTTGCCTGAGGTCACAGGCGGCTGACTTGGGCAGAGACCTTCCCCAGAGGCGTGCTGCCCTTCCTGCCTGACCAGAGAGCCTTTGCAGGACGAACCGGGCCCTGAGTGAGCCCTGCCGTTCTGTCCATGGGCTGGGCTCCCAGGAGCCGCGGGGCGGGCCTGCAGCACCTGCGGGCCCTCAGCCTCCTCTCTCACTGCCCAGGGTGCCGAGGGCAGATGGGCAGGGTGGAGGCTCTATTACGAGACCTCCGCTCCCTGTCTCCCCTCTCTCACCCACCCACGTCACTGAAAGTCAAGGCATCCCCTTGCTGTCAGCTCCACCATTTTCTACCCGGCTTCCCTCGGGCAAGACGCCAACCTCGCTGGCCTCATCAGCAAAATACCATTCGTATGACACTGGGCCATATGAAATGGCTGTTTTTATAGCTCAAAATATAGTTGACTATTGGAAATTTCACACAGTTCCACCTACTAGCATCCAGTAGGATCAAACAAGACACCCATACAACAACTAAGCATGGCTCCTGGGATGCACAAGCACTTGACATAAAGTCAGAGGTGTGTCCACGCAGGCAGGAGCCCTGGCAGAGCTCCTCACAGGTATGAATGATGCAGAAGTGAATAAGAAGTGGTTTGTGGCTTAAGAAGCTTGTGGGAGACATGAGACTAGGCATATTACAGAATGTGGCCTGAATTAGATTGGGCCCCCAAAGCGTGACTAGTTAGAGGCACACGGGCATGTCTTACACGACCGAACCATGGCGAGGTCTGTAGGGCCAGCGTTGGCAGCTGGGCCAGGGCCCGGGGCGCTGGGGTGTGCCCTACCTCACCTCTCTTTGCCTGCCTGGGGTCTCTCCCTGCCAACAGCTCTCACGAACTTCACACTTACCTGCTCCTATGACCCAAGAACTAGGACTAACCCTCTTTCTGGTCCCAAGCTCGACAGTACCAGGCTATGAGAATACGGCTCCTCCCATGCACACAGTTTGGCTGAAGTGTGGGGAGGTGTGGTCCTGGAAGGGAGGGTATTGGTAGACAGTCCCTTATGAGTCCACCATCATGTGTGTCTCCTGGCTGCAAGTGACAAAACCCAACTCAAACTACCTTAGCCATAAAGGAAATTTACTGGCTCACAACACTGGGAGGTTCAAGAGATGAATCTGTCTTCAAGCATGGCTGCATCCAGGAGTCAAACTGGTTCATCAAGAACCTGTTTCTCTTGTCCATGTCTTGGCTTTGCCTCCCTCCCTCTTGACCTCATACTTGGGTAGGCTGTGCTCCTGGCAGCTCTGGGGACAAAGGGTCCTTGTAGGTAGCAAAAGGAGAAGAGTCTCTCTTTCCCAACTCAGCCAGCAAGAGCCTCAGGACCAAGTGTCCAGCTCTTGAGCCAGGATCATGGGATTAGTTCACCTGAATGATGGGGAGCGAGCATGGGGGAGGGTGTTTCGTGAAAAAGAGCTCAGTTACCACGGGAAGCGATATAGTGTGGCAAAACCACACATAAACCAAAGAAGTCACAGTGAGGTAGGTGCTGTAACAGAGAGGCTCGCAAAGCCGGGGTCACCTGAATATATGTGGGGAAGTCAGGGCGGGCTTCACAAGGGAGAGGCTGCCTACGTCCTCAAAAGGTTACACACAGAATGACCACGCGACCCAGCAAGTTCACTCGTAGGTGTACACCTCAAAAGAAATGAAAACAGGTACTCGGACAAGTACATGGACACCTATGTTCACAGCAGAATTATTCATAGTACCCAAAAGGTGGAAACAACCCAAATAGCCATCAACTGAGAAGGGATAAACAAAATGTGGTCTGCCCCTACAAAAGCGTATTATTCAGCTTTGGAAAGGAATGAAGTCATGATCCATGCTACAACATGGATGAACACTGAAAACATTATGCTGAGTGAAAGAAGCCGGACAAAAGGTCACATTTTGGATGATTACATTTATATGAAACACCCAGAAGAGGCAAATTCATAGAGACAGAGCCCAGGATGGTGGTGGGAGTGTGTGGAAGGGGGAAATGGGGAGCGCCCGCTTATCAGGTATGGGGTTTCCTTTCGGGGTGATGAAGCTGTTTACACTAGATAGAGGCAGTGGTTATACAATATTGTAAATCTACCAAATGCCACTGAGTTGTTCACTTTAAAATGGTTAATTTTATGTTATGTGAATTTCACCTTAATAAAAAAAAAAAGACCAGAAAAAAACCCGAAAAAGGACAAATAATGTATGCTACCTGGCATTTGTTCCAAATGGATCCAGTTTGAGGGGAGAGGAGGGCAGGTGTGGATGAGGCAAGACTGACCACAAGTTGGTAACTGTTGATTGGGGTTTATTACCCTATGCATTTATGGCCTATGTTTGAAAAATTCCTTAATAAAGAGTAAAATAAAAGAGTAAGAGGGCTTCCCTGGTGGCATAGTGGTTAAGAATCTGCCTGCCAATGCAGGGGACACGGGTTCGAGCCCTGGCCCAGGAAGATCCCACATGCCACGGAGCAACTAAGCCCGTGAGCCACAACTACTGAGCCCACGTTTTACAACTATTGAAGCCCGCACACCTAGAGCTCGTGCTCTGCAACAAGAGAAACCACTGCGATGAGAAGCCCGCACACCGCAACGAAGAGTAGCTCTCGCTCGCCGCAACTAGAGATAGCCCGCGTGCAGGAACAAAGACCCAAAGCAGCCAAAAAAAAAAAAAAAAAAAAAAAAAAAGAGTAAGAGCTTGCCAGGCAGATAAATAGGGCGGCGGGGGGGTGTGTGTGTGTGTCACTGCAAGAAGAGGGAAGAGCACATGCAAAGGAGCAGAGAAGTGAAGCAGTACAAGGCAGGAAGGGAGGAGCGGGGGACGCGTGCGTGAGGACTTGGGCTGAGTCTAAGGTCACATGACTAGTGGGAGGCCAGGCTTCCTTTCTTCCTTCCTCCCTTCCTTCCCTCTCTCTCTCCTTCCTCTCTCTCTTTTTTTTTTTTTTTAATAAAATCTTGGTTTTAAGCAGAAATAGTCTCAAAGCTGCTAGATCAGCAGTCACAAAGTCCAAGCACATATCTTACTTATTGGTGGGGACTCATTCAGAATCCAGTTAACCTTACTTTGGATATAATTCTGACGAGTTGGGTTATATGGAATCCCAGCCCACAGTAGATGAAAAGCAGTTTTTAGTGGGGAAATGAAAGGCTTTTAGGTAAGGCAAGCACAGTGGCAATAATGAAATGTGACAGCCACAGCCTGGGTTGGGAAGATATGGATAGGAAAGCTTATGAAAAGAGATATTAGCATAAAAACACATAAAATGCAAATCAAGACCATGAGATACCACTTCACACCCATAGGATGGGTATAATTAAGACGTCAGATGATGACAAGTGCCGGTGAGGATGTGCAGACAGCTGGTAGGAATGTAAGATGCGTCAGCCACTTTGGAAACAGTCTGGTAGTTTCTCAAAAGGTTAAACATAGTTACTGTATGACCCAGCAATTCCACTCCCAGGTATATACCCAAGAGAAATGAGACAAAGGTCCATTCAAAAACTTGTACATGAATGTTCACAGCAACACTATTCATAATAGCTAAAAAAATGGAAACAACCCAAACATCCAACAACTGATGAATGGATAAAAATGTATATCCATACAATGCAATATTATTTAGCAGTAAAAAAGAATGAGGTACTGAAACATGCTACCACATAGATGAACGCTGATAACATGCTAAGTGAAAAAAGCCAGTCACAAAGGACCACATATCGT